CCCATCTCCCCGCCCTCGCCTCCAGCAAAACCACCCTTGACACCGCCCACTGACCGCCTTCCTCCCCCACAGGCCGGCGAGCGTCTGTACCTCCGCCTACCTCTCCGGCGTGGAAGTCCGGGGCGTCTCCGCGGGGCCCAGACTCCGGCTCCTCCCGGCGTCCTCGGCAGTAGCGCGCTTCTCCCGCGACGACCTGATTTACGTGACGAAATCCCCGGATTACTGCCACCCGGAGCCTCGTCTCGGCTCCCTGGGGACCGTCGGCAGGTGCGTGGGGTTTCTCTTGGCTTAGCGGGGGGAGTGGTCTTCAGAAGGGCTTGCGGTGGTTTTAATGGCTTGCGTGGGGTCTGAGGAGGCTAAAGGGGTCTTACGGGGGTCTAGGGGGTTTCACGGGAGATAGTGTGAGGTCTTAGAAAGGCATGAGGGTTTATAAGAGGTTCCTGCGGGGTCTCGAGGGATTTGTCGGGGTCTTATAAAGGTTTGCGGGAGGTCATAGGATGGGCTAGAATATCCTGCTTGTCTCGAGTTCCTGCGTGACGCTGGAGGATAAGAGATATTCATATTTGTAGTTGTGTTCTCTTTATTATTTATGTTTTTGTCGGCTTGCTTGTGTGTGGATTTGTTTGTCTGTGCATAAATGTTTGTGTGCGTGTAGAGCCATCGTCTTTCTCTGATTTTGCAATTGAAATTAGACACCTGCTGAACTCTGGGTAGAGATGCGCTGCTTTGAAAACAGTGTCGGCCAATTTTGGGGTAAAAATGTTATTAAACCACGGCAGTTTACCATTTTTCTAGATCTATATTCAGGCATACATTTATGTATATATAATTATATATATATATATATATATATATATATATATATATATATATATATATATATGTATGTATATATTATATATATATATATATATATATATATATTATATGTATATATATTATATATATAATATATATATATATATATATATATATTATGTATGTGTATGTATGTGTGTGTGTGTGTGTGTGTGTGTGTATAAAATATATATTTATATTTATATACGTACATATATATATATATATATATATATATATATATATATATACATATGCGTTTGTGTGTGTATATATATATATCTATATCTATCTATCTATCTATCTATCTATATAAACAAATACGTTTGTGTGCGTGAGTGTGTGAGAGTCTGTGTTAATGTGTAAGCACATGCATGTATGTGTGTATGCATGAATTAATGTATATATGTATGTATGTGCAAGCTAGTCAGACAATGGACATAAACCCTCTTACACAATTACTATTAGAAGCAAGAATCAGTTTACATCAGGCAGTTCTTGTATGCGGTAAATAAGGAGCCCTGTTTCCCCGTCCATTACGAGAGCCCGACGCAGCGCTGGCCAGACGCAAAGCCTTTCGGAGTTGCCACTGCGCATGTCCTCCTCGTTACCTGACAATCTCTGAAGCCATTTTAGCCGAGACATTGGGAGTTTCTTCGGCCGATCGGGATCAGCGCTTCGGCCCTTTCAAGGAAGTGTTTTGGCGCAGCTGGGAGGGGGGGGGGGAGGTAGCATGAAGTCGCCGGTGTATTTGGTAAACCTGACGCTGGGCCGTGCTTTCCATTGCCAGCGATGTTATCTGACGCCCCAACAAGCGACTGCGCGGCGGAGCAGTCTATAAATCAGGCGTAAACCATCTCCAAACGCAGTGTTGTCATTTCTTTTCTTCTTCTTCTTTTTTTGTCCTGTTAGTCTTTCTATTTATCCTTCTTTATCCTGCAAAGCATATTGAACTTTAAGGTCAATGATTATAATATATATACACCTCCCACGACGTTAGATGTTCAGCTAATGCATGCTGATTTACGACGCATTGTGGACTGAACTGCTACTTGTCACACGCCCTAATCACTCGATCTGCGTGGGCGAAATGAACCGAATTTGCCGCTCTGTGTTGATTTAAAAGGGAGAAGTCAGCCTGATCTATTACCAGCGTTTTAAAGGCCATGTTAAGCATTTCATCACAGGCTAAATGCACGTGGGCAACAGTAAATAGTAGACAAACGGCCATTGGAAGTTAAGTAGATTGTAGATTTATGGCATATAATTGACACACTAGATATCTTATTCGATACCAGGAATGCTTAGCGATTGTCCGTAGCTGAGAGATGTCAGATAGTATCATAGGGACACGTACAGTTGATACATATCTTGCTTTAATTTTGTTTTGGAAATCCTTATTGCATCGTTACTGTCGCCTTATCACCATTCTTAAAGCTTGTACAACTATTTCTGATACTGCTATACCGCTGCGTTGGTTGTAGTCTGGTCACTGTTGGTATATAGTATTATCAAAAGATGTGCCATCATCACTATTATAGGTCTTGCTCTTGTATACCAGTGATGGCAATGCTATCATGATAACGGTAATTATGATAATAATAGTAATATTTTATTTTATTATCACTTATTATCGTCGTCATCGTCATCGTCATTGTCGTCGTCGTCGTCGTCGTCGTCATCGTCATCATCATCATCATCATCATCATCATCATCATCATCATCATCATCATCATCATCATCATCATCATCATATCACACATCATCATCATCACCATCATCACTACCACCACTATTATTATCATTATCCTTTGTATCATCATATCGAATGATAGTGACACTGAAAATAATATTTAGTAAATTAATTTCTATTTTGATAGCAATGATCTGAAAATCTGGTAATGCAAATAAAGATAACGATGATTTATTATCATTACTATTACTACGATCATTAATAATATGATTACAATAACCACCAGGAATTTATGACGTTTTTGGCTAACGCTGCTTATTTCATTATATTTTTGTCTTATGGATATATTTTCTAGATTACTTTTATAAAGATTTTCCTCGGTTGACTTTATTGCATATGTGGATTGTATTAGAAAAAAAAATTGTGGGAGAATGGGGTACTGTATGAAAAATATGCAGATGATTATCATCTAGTTTGTAGAGTAGAACAATAATATTTTTTTAAGTTGCGAGGAAAATTAACATGTTTTTGCACTGCTTAAAAGGGTCGTTTGTGTATTTTTATTCGATATTTGAATTACAGTTTTGAATTATTAATATGATGCTAATTGGTATTAAATGCAGGTAAAGGTACCTCTTGGTCGCCCTAACGTCGATCACAAAATACCGTATATAGACGCTGCTCCCTGACAAAGGCGCATCAGACCTCACACACAGAGCTGCCAGCGGGTGTAGATTCCCCATCACTCGGAGAATATAGACCACCGCCCTTACCAGATACCTCTAAATTGGTTTCTCATCAGGAATATCTGTACTTTTCGCCGCTTATCTTCCCCCTCCCCCCCTCATTATGAACTTTTTGCTTATGTAAATGCTGTCTCTGATTCCTCGTTTAGACCCCACGTCCGCCTAATAGTTTCTTAACGCGACTGGGTACTCATAAACACACATATTTTGGTCCCGCAGCCCCGAGACAGGTTTGACCGCCGACGTTATGAGGTCATTATGGATATCTGGATGATCGCTTGGACAATAACGAAATTCCTTCGTTCTGTCCGGATTTTACAAAATTTTGTTGACATTAGAAGTCTCAATGCAGGACCGAGGCTAAATGGTGCTTACGGAGATTCGCTTCGTATAAATTATGTTAATGATAGTGAGTTTTTGTTTGTTTTTTGTTCGCCAGCTAATTGCATAATCGGTGCTTCCTTTGGCAAACAATAGGGGGCCGTCGTCAGTTTCTCCGTTTCATGTGCTTTTATCCAGGTCCCAGGCAACGGCTTTAATTCATATATTGCACTTGACTGGACATTTTCTTCTTTTCCTTTTTCCTTTTCTCATTTTCTTCTCCTTTGACTGTTGTCGATTTTTGTAAATATGTTAGCCATATATATATATATATATATATATATATATATATTATATATATATATATATATATATATATATATATATATATGTGTGTGTGTGTGTGTGTGTGTGTGTGCGTATATGT